GGCAGAGGGAGGGAGGGAGTAAAATAATTGTAGCTACATCTTATCAGGGTCTGAGGTACTAAAACCACAGGTAAAGGGCCTGCTGAAATGCAGATTCCTTGCCCTGTCCTGACATCCTCTGCACCAGCATTCCAGGGCCCTGGAATCTGCATATTCACAAGCACTCCCACCACTGGGGGGTGACTCTCAGTCCAGGGACTGAAAGGCTTTTGGGGAGCCACCAAGAGCTCTGGGCGCTGCCGGGCTCCTTGGCTGAGGCAACAGCGCCACCTGGTGGGTTCTGCCCTAATACATGCCATTCACCGCCTGGCCCTCGCTGGGGGCCGAGAGGCACGTGGGCCCAGGCCTCTAAGTTCCAGGGGAGCGAATGTCCCCAGCACATCCTTTCGTGCCCGTCCAGGCTGAGAGAAGGGAGAAACCAGGAGCTTCCCAGCCGACCTTTCCCCAGCCTTCTTTTCCTACCGCAGCCTAGGGGGCCTTCCCGCTTTATCTACTTTGTTTTCATCTTTGTTATGAGCCCTCTGGTTGGAACTGATCCACAGTGGACCCTCCACCGGGTTTTCAGAGGCTGTAAATCACAGGAGAGGAGACTGCCCATCTCTCATGGAGCAGCTGCTAGATTCCAACTGCCTTTGGGTTAGCAGGGCAATTCCTTATCGTTACACTATCCAAGCATTAGAACTGAACTCTGGTGGCCTCGTGGTAAGCAGCTGCGTTGCAATCCCAAAGGTTTACGTTTCAAATCCACCAGGTGCTCTGTGAGGGAAAGGTTGGGCCATCTCTTCCCAGGCGATTGATGGCCTCTGAAAACCTGCTGGAGGCTCAGCTATTGCTCAGTTCTGACTCAATCACCACCAACAACAACGAGCCCAAGGCGCTCTGGTGGCCTACTGGTAAGGATTTGTGCTGCAACCCCAAAGGCACACAGTTCAAATCCACCAGATGCTAAGCTGGGAAAGGATGAGCAAGCTCCACCCGTGTGATTTACTGCCTCTGAAAAGTCACTGGAGGGTCCACTGTGGGTCAGTTCTGACTAGACAGCGTACAACAAGACAACAATGAAACAAAAAACACCACTGCGCCAACAGGTAACATCATGTTGGATGGAGAAAAGCTTGAAATTGTCAAAGATTTTATTTTAGTTGGATCCAAAACTGATACACTTGGTAACAGGAGTCGAGAGACCAGGGGGCAAAATGTTTTTAAGTGCCATTAAGTCGTAGGTGACTCATAGCGACCCTATGACTGAAAGACCTGAACACTTGTATAACTTTCATTGTTTCTCCAAGTTCATAGAGTTTCTGGAAGCACGCCATTTCGGAAGTAGATGCCACTCCTGCTTTCAAGCTTGTTTTAATCGGAGAGCTCCACCAAACACTGTCCACCATGGGTAGCCATAATCACATTTGACACATTGGTGTCACAGTGTTCAGCTTCACAGCAACCACGAGTTACCTATGTACAGCAAATGGGACAGATCAATGCTATACCACTTAGAAGAATGCTTGATCAAAACCAATTAAAACCAGGCCTGAGGGCCGCAGATTAAAATCACCCACCTTTGGCTAGGTAGCATAACTTTGTATCCATTAGGCCAACAGAGCTCTATGTTGTTGTTGTTGTTAAGTGCCGTCAAGTCAGAGATGACTCATAGCGACCCTATGAATGAAAGGTCTGATCACTTGTATAACTTTTGTTGTTTCTTTACATTCATAGAGTTTCTGGAGGCAAGCCATTTCAGAAGTGGGTGCCAGTCCTGCTTGCCACAGGACCGAGGGCCCAAATGGGTTCTTAAATAGGAGACTGAATCCCATCATCTCACACCCATTAGTGAATCAACATTCCACCCTAATCCTCACCAGAACCAGCAAACAACTCCTCTGTAGAATTCAGAAGCTGCAGACAACTTCCAAACTGGATTCCAGCCCCAGGAGACAAATAAACAAATAGCACTGGGAAAGTCTGCTGTCAGGAATCTCTCCAAAATCCTAAAGAGCAATGATGTCAGCTTAAAGACTGTGGTGTGCCTGATTCAAGTCATGGACTTTCCAATCACTTGCAATGAATCTGAGAACTGGAAAATTAATAAGGATGACAGAACTGTTGTCTTTTGAGTCGTGGTGTTGGAGAAGAGCACTGACTATCCCCTGGTCTGCCAAAAGAACAGATACGTCTTGGAGAAAGTGCAACCAGAGTGCTCGTTAGGAGGCAGGGATGGCGAAGCCTCATCTCACATACTCGGGGCATGTTGTTAGAAGGGGCTATTCTTTGGACAGGGACGTCGTGCTTGGAAAGGTGTAGGCTCAACAAGAGAGAGGAAGCCCCTCAACGAGATGGAGTGGCACTGTGACTAAAGCAGTGAGCACAAGTGTGTCTGAAAAGGTAAGGATGAGGCAGGATAGAACAGGGTTCCTATCTGTTCGTAGAGTTTTGTCGTACTCAGTGGAAACAGCAGCAATGAGTTCTGGGGGCTTAGTGTGTGCTGGGCTGGATCGCTCATTGAAAGATCGTCTGTTTGAATCCACTACCACTCCGGGGGGAGGGGCCATCTCTTCCCACGGAGATTTACAGACTCAGAAATCCAAGGAAGGGTCACAGTGAGATTCAATGACAGTGGTTTTGGGGTTGTTTCTGGCAAGGGAGTTCTGGTAGTGCAGTGGTTCAAAAGGTAGGGGAGCCCTGTTGGTCTAGTGGTAAGGAGTTGCACTGCCAACTCAAAGGTCCACGGTTCAAATCAACCAGTAGCTCCACTAGGGAAAGATGGGCAAGGGCCTCCTGTGCTCTTTACTGCCTCTGAAAACTGGATGGAGAGTCAGCCAAGAGTCTGTTCTGACTTGACAGTACACAACCACCACCACCACCAAAAGGCCAGTAGTTTAAAACCCAATGGTCACCCCACGGAAGAAAGATGAAGCCGTCTGCGTCCACAAAAGCTCAAAGCCTGTGGGCAGTTTCACCGCATCCTGCAGGGTCACTGAGAGTCACAGATGGACTGGCCTTGAAGACCTACGGGATAGCACAGGAGAGGGAGACCCCTGACGAGGTGGATTGATACAGTGACTGGGGCAATTGGGGCTGGTGTGTCTGAATCAGCAGACTGGCTCAGGACACAGTCACTGGCAACTCAACAGCACATAACAAGAAAGAGCAGGGGGTACGTCAGGAGCCAGCAGCGACAAGGGCCACATACAAGTTCTAGCATCCTTTCGTGTCTCGTGACTCTAAGCCCACGGCTGTCCGGTAGGAAGCGGCTCCTAGCTGACCTTCAGGTTTCCCGTGTCATACGTGAGGAGCATGCAGGGATCATGGGCCCATCTCTCTCCCTTGGGCCCTCTGGAGGATTTGGATGGCGAGAGGCGGGGCCTTCGAGTTAGGAGCTCAACTGCCCGTGGACACAGGGCTCCCTTCACTCTCCAGTTCCACCTTTGAAAGTTGTCAGAATTCTGCACATCCAACTCCATCAATCACAGTTCTTGAATTTGAAAATTTGGGGCCACAAAACCCCCTGCAAAAATGAATACTAACAAAAATAGGTCAAGTTTATCCTGTGGTTTGTCTGGGCAACCCTCACCAGCTTCATTCCCCACCCACGGGCATCTGCACCTGGTCTTCGAATCAGGGGTCCATAGTTGTGGTCTATACCTATCTCAACACACAGCCACACTCTGATGATCTCCTGTCACCCCTTCTCTGGGTCAGGCCCATCCTCTCCCCATGTTCTGGGCTGAGAAGGAGCTGAGACGCCGCCAGATGGCTCCATTCTCTGGGGGACAGCAGGAAGCAGCCGGCCACTCTCCCAGCCCAGCCAGTCACCCCTGGAAGCAGGTGCCCCCCATGCCCCATATCAGAATGGGTTGTTACAAATTCTCTTTAATAGTCTTTACAGAAAGTTTTACAGAACTGTATATGCAGAACCCCGCCCCACATCCCACAAGGCACAGCCTCACCCACTCTATTCCCGAGGACAGAGGATGCAAGAATGGCCAGATGACTTGTCCCAGGAGAGAGCTTCTGCCCACCCCACCCACCCCCAGCCCAATCCCACCTGCCCTGTCCCTGTCTCTAGATGGCCCTGGAGTCCAAGGGATATAAGCTCACTGGGGCTCACTCCATGGAACCCCTAAGTGGCTTAGGGCAAATCCATCAGACTCCTTTCAGCCCACCCCACCTGTGTCCTGTTTGACCCCAGCTGATCGGAGCTGCCTTGTTGCGGGGTGCGGTGGGGGAGGGCAGGTCAGGGGAAAGGGTGCCACTCCTTAATTTTAAATACTTCGCACCCATCCCACCATCATCAATAAAAAAACGTGGAAACCAAAGACATAAGCTTTGTAGTGGAAAAAAATTCACCCCTTCAGTGGGCAGTCCCTGGGCAGCGCTGGGTGTCTGCTGGACACAGCCCTCCCCGACATGGGTCAGCGTGCTTTCTCCTGCACAACAGCACGCCCGGGAGGAAGAGGAGCCCGAATCTCTTAGAAGGGAGGATGACGAGGCTTCAGCTCACATTCCTTGGGCCTGTTATCAGGAGGGACAAGTCCCTGGACAAGGACGTCATGCTTGAGAAACAGAGGGCCAGAGAAGAGAGGCCGCGCCCCTCGGTGTGCAGTGAGGGCAGCAGGGAGTTCAAACCCAGTGACGGCCTCAGGCAGGCCCAGGACCGTGCTGCAGGCGAGACCTCTAAGAGTCAGCACCTGCCAACACACAGCTGCATGGCCTCAAAGGGAGGTGAGCGCTAAAACCTGGCCCACGCTGAAGGGGCAGGGCCACTGCTAGGAGAACTCTGGGAGCAGAGATGGCGGAGCTGACGGCCAGGGCTCCAGCTGGCAGGAGGAAGTCGGAAGTCAGGAGAGGTGTTCAGGCCTCAGGAAGCACCTCACTTGCTGCCAGCAGGGGAAGGGCAGGGGCCTGGCAGTGAGGTTGGAAGAGGGCCTGGGAGGGAGCCAGGGAGGCCGCTAGGAGCCCCGAGCTGGAGGGTGGACAGGAAGGTGGGGACAGCAGCTGCTTCAGTACTTGGGGACCTTGCTGTAGTCTTCGGAGTGGATGTGCCGGCACAGAGAGATGGACAGGATCATGCCCAGGAGCTGTACAGGGAGAGGCAGAGTCAGAGGGGACGAGAGGCGAGGTGCCCTGGCCAGTCCCCTCCCAGCCCAGCCACGAAGGGCGGTGCAGCAGCCTCTCTGGTCCAGTTCAACACACGAGCTTCATGTGGATTAAACAGACTCGAGCCTCATGGCCACCGTGACGCAGGCAGAGGAGCGAGGCCCAGAGAGGGTCAGCGCCTCACCTGAGGTCACACAGCCCATCTGTGCCCTGGTGTCCAAACAAAAGTGGAACGGGACGGGGAAAGGGGTGTCTGCGGGAGGTCAGGGAGGACTTTGCATGGGGAGGGGCTGGAGAGCAGGGGACCCAGACCTCAATGACAGCGACGCCTCCACACACGCCCAGGATGATGCCCAAGTTCTCCTGCAGCCATGTCTGCACCCGCTCCATGCAGCCCTGCAGGGGAGAGAGAGAGATGATCCCATCACCCTCGTCACCTCACATCGGGTCACAGCCCCTGGGTGAGCACCACCCCGAGGGGCTGCCCCACCCCAAAGGGCCTGCAGAGAGGGGGGGTCCATGTGGTCCTTGATTTAACCAATGAAATGAAGATACAAATTACACAAAACCAAATACCAATGGAAGGGACAACTGAAGGAGGGAGGGAAGAGGAGGAGTGAGAGGAAGGAGAGAAGTGGGAGGGAAAGGAGAGGGGGAAGGAGGAGGAGGAGGGGAGGGGAAAGGAAGGTGAATGGGGGAAGATGGGGGGAAGAGGGGCAAGAAGGGGAGGGGGAGGAAGAACGAGGAGAGGGAGGACCACGCAGTGGCTCAGCCAAGTCCGGTTGGCCTTGTAGATAAACCCATGGAGCTTCCTGAGCCCAGACGGCCTCAAAGTCCCCGGCGCCCGCCCTGGCCCTCTGGCCACCACACACCTTCCTGTACACGGGCCACTCCTCAGGGTTGTTGCCACTCTGGCTGTTGTCGGACACCTCACAGAAGCCTGTCTGCATGGGTAGGTCTGTGCTGTTGTGCTTGTTGTAACAGGAACAGGGGTAGGTGATGCTGGTGTGGTTCATGAGCTCCTCATTCTCCGTCCAGTTGAGGAAGCTGGCCCAGCCGCAGCACTCCACCTGGGCACAGGGGGTAACTGGTCAATGCCCATGCCCATCACAGGTGGGTGGCTCTCCTGAGAGGCCCCCCCACCCCTTTGGACACCGTCTTCTGGAGCCTTGGATTCAGGTCTCCTACTACTGCCCTGGCTACTCTCACATCACAGCCCTCTGTCCCCAGCAGCAATCACATACTGCCAGCAGGCCCTAGGTGACCACTGAGTCAGGAGGCTGCAGCCCAGAAAGGGCAGGTCCTGGCCAAGGGCACATAGCACTCAGGACCAGAATTAGGAGGGACTCAGTATGGAGGTCTATTTGTGTGTGTGGCCACTGGTGTGCCAGCAAGACCGGTCAGAAACCTAGTCAGTCAATCAGCAAGCCTATCTGTCTCCAAATCACTATATAAATAAACATAAACATAAATATAAATATAAATATAAATATAAATAGAAATAGAAATAGAAATACAAATAGAAATACAAATAGAAATACAAATATATATACAAATACAAATTATCCAAATCTGAAGCCTTCAGCCAAAGGAATTTTTATGTGTGTACATAGTGACAACTTTCAACTGTTTCCTATGCAGGTTTAAGTCTGACAATGAATAAGAAGACCAAAGAAAGATTGATGCCTCTGAATTTTGGTGTTGGCAAAGCAGATTGCCAAAAGCAAAACCAGATCTTTCTTGGAAAAGTTACAGCCAGAGTGCTCCTTAGAGGCAGCGAGGGGCAGACTCCATCTCACATAGCTTGGGCATGTTGCTGGGGTGGGGGCTGGGGGCAGAGGTTGGAAAAAGACACCATTCTTGTGAAAGTAGAAATGACGACCCTTAATGAGATGGTCAAGTCAAGATTTGGATGGAACACTCCTGTCACCCCACAGTGTCCACAGTCACCTCCCTAGTCACTGCCTTCCTGGAGAGGTCAGCTCCAGAAGTTTTCGTCAGCATGTCAGCCTTGGCGGTGGTCTCTTAACACCCAAAGCGGTGCTTCTGACCTTCCCAGGCTGGCCTGGGCTGACAGAGAGCTTCCCTTTCTCTCCACCACAGAAGAACCCTGAGTGGGGAGCTGTGGTGTTGGTTAGTGTCCAGGAGGGGGCACTGCTGAGCACTCTCCAATAGACACTGTCTGTATTCTCTATCGGGCCCCCACAGCCACTGCGAAGAACAGACCCACACATTTGAGTTGTTATGTGCTGTGGAGTTCTCTACAACTCGCAGTGACCCGATGAACAGTAGCTCTGAACCCTGCCCTATCCTGAGCCAACTTCCCTGTCTTCGACAAAACTGACTCCACTGCTACAGTCCCTGTGTCAAGCTAACTTATCCAGAGTCTTCCTCTCCTGTGAGAACCCTCTACCCTTCCAAGCATGATGACCTCTAAGAACTGGCCCCTCCTAGCAGCAGGCTGAAAGTACGGGAGATGGAACTTCAAAGTCCTGGCCTCCAAGGAGCAGCTTGGAGGACTGGCATCACTTTCCAAACAACATGTCTCTGGAAACTCTATGAACTTTGATAAATGACGATAGTTAAAGAAAGGCTTCAGGTCTTTTGTTCATTGGGTAGCTATGAGTCGTGCTCGACTAGATGGCAATTGACAATAATAACAAGTAAGCCGCAGAAATTGTCTTGGTTCGCCAGAGCACATAAAAGGTATTCTGACATGGCACTGTAGCCTATTAGGTTGCTCAGTGCGTTAAGTATTGTTATTATGTACTGTTGAGTCAGAACCGATCCAGAGCTGACCTGGTGGTTTAATTGCACGGGAGGAGATTGCATATCCTTCTCCCACAGAGCCGCTGGTGGATTCAAACTGTGTACCTTTGGGATTGCAGCACAGCATCTGGCCACTAGGCCACCAGAGCTCATTGTCATTAGGCCACAGGAAATGTCAATGGGTTTGTACCTACCAGTTGTCTAGGTGGAAGAAGATGAGGCAGTCTGCCCCCTCTAAAGACTGCCACCCTTGGGGTCCTATGGGGCAGTTCTAGTCTGTCCTGTAAAGCTGCTACACGAGTTGGAATTCAAGCAAGGACAATGGGTAGAGAGGGTTGTAATTTTGCACTGTATGTGCAATTGCATGATCAAGAAGTTTGCATGATTAAAAAACAAGGAACTCATGCAATATTATTCAAAATGGTTGACTC